AATGACAGAGAGTCGCGAGTGTCGGCTCGGAGCCGTGGGGCAATGTCCCCCTCTCCATCCTTTGCGGCGGGGAAGAGCATCGTGGGCGAAAAGCGACGGGCATCGATGCTTAATGCGGGGACTCCTCGGGGCCAAAGTTCGCGCCACCGCTGCATAAATGCACGTTTAGCGGGGGGTTATTAGCACCTCTCTAATGGCAGCTCACGCCCGGGCTATAAAATCGAGGTTTTCCCCAGCAAACGGCTTTGCGGGGCGGTGGGCACGACAGGCTCTGCGCTCCCGGCCGGGACCCGGGGAGCCTCCGACTAGTCCCTGTTCTCAGTGCCGCGTCGGCCGCGGACCTCGCGCCGGGCAGGGGCTCAGCTCCGCCGCCAGCCGCAACACGCAGGGTTTCTCTGAGGGGTTTGGAGGGAAAAGGCCATTTCATTTTTTCCCCCCATTTAAGCATAAGAAGGACATTTCGTGATTCGCACGATCTCAGTAAATAGGTTACTATATAACGGTAATACATAAATAATTAATTTTTATTATTTAAGCGAATAACAATATAACATATAAAATAATCTTTCTTTCTTTCTTTCTTTCTTTCTTTCTTTCTTTCTTTCTTTCTTTCTTTCTTTCTTTCTTTCTTTCTTTCTTTCTTTCTTTCTTTCTTCCTCTCTTTCTCTCTCTCTTTCTCTCTCTCTTTCTCTCTCTCTTTCTCTCTCTCTTTCTCTCTCTCTTTCTCTCTTTCTCTCTTTCTCTCTTTCTTTCTCTCTCTCTCTCTTTCTCTCTTTCTCTCTTTTTCTCTCTTCCTCTCTTCCTCTCTTCTCTCTTTCTCTCTTCTCTCTTTCTCTCTTTCTCTCTCTCTTTCTTTTTCTTCTGTTCCTTTCTTACTGTCTCGCTTTTTCTCTCTCTCCCTTTCCAAGGCAAACATTCCTTTTCTCCCCCAGGCGCACTACTTGGCCGGCTTTCACTGTTAACATTATTCTTTTACGGCTTATGTGTCATAAAATATTACAGGTCACAGTTACTCCTGTTTCAGGCTCAGAAAAACCATTGAAATCAATGGGAGCTTTGGGGGAAAAAATCTTTTCCCTTGTGCCTAAGAATTCGGGGCAAACTCCGTTTATTTTGATCACGTGAGGAGTCCTTTCTGCGATGTAACTTCAAAGGGACTACACTTTTCAGCAATACGAGCAGAATTTGGCCCAGGGAAAAAAAAAGAAAAAAAGAAAAAGAAAAAAAAAAAGAAAAAAAAAAGAAAAAGAAAAGGCTTTCTTTTTTTTTTTTTTATATATAGTGCAGTGACATATTTTAAGCATTTGTTCCGCACGGGGAAGCTTTCAGCCATTACTTTTACAATTATTTTGGCTTTCACATCTACTTTCCTTGCGAGGGTATATCTCGCAAAGGTAAATCAGGACTATTGATTCTTGCAAAAATGTGGTCGAGGCAACCTCTACTGCAGTGAAACCACTAACCAGAGTGTTTTTTTTTTTTTTTTTTTTTCCGGGGGTCCAGCTTATAAACACAAACTCAACGTGCCACAAACTTCTCACGGTTCGAGAAAGTAAAAGCAGCAGCAATAACATCATCAAAAGTCAACTTTAAACAAAGACAAGTGCAGATGAGCCCGCAGAGGAGCTGCCATCCGGGGACAGATAGAGAACCCGAAAGCGAGCTCAGCTGCAAGCACTTTTACCTACGCTGACACAGGTCTAGGATGTGGAGTCAGCGGGAACCAGAGGGATTAGGAAAACAGAGGGACTCATGGAGCGCTTCGCTGGCAACAGTTG